TAGATTGGTCAGGCATGTTTTGTTCAGACATGGTTAATTAATAATAATAATCAAATATTGACTAAGATTATTCAATAAATAATCCGAGTTGAAAATATTTGCGATAAAATTTATACAAATTTATATAAAATTATTGAAAGTCTGTGTCAAAGCTAAAAAAAAAAGATAAGAACATTGCAACCTAAGTTTAATTATTCATTATACAATGTCTTTCCAAAATTAATTAAGAATTATTATATAATGCCATCTTCAAAAAAATTTTTTTTTGAAATATTCCATTCTCAATTAAGCGTCCTTTAATATTGTAACGTCACACGGAATGTAAAGTTAAAATCTGTGTTTTGCGACTAATATAACACAGATGCTTTATAATTATAAAAATTGTTTTTATTTACACATTCAAACAATGAATTATTTATAAATATGCTAGCAATTTCTACATATTTCATTGTTAAAATACAGGATATTAGTCGACTACAAGCGCCGTTAGCCGTTCATTTTTATAACATAACGTTACCCATTATTAATAATTTGATGTTTTTATTCGATTTAAAGCATTCCTAAAACAGTGTTTAAATATCTATATGTGGAATCTCCGATTCGCAGATTGACAAACAAAAATTTTTTTTGAATTCTGTGGATTTTATTATGTCATACATGTACAAATTGCCAATTTGAAATAAAATTAGTTTTAAACATTGGTCCTCGAGTACCTCCTTAATGAACCCAATAACGACTGATTGGCCAGTCTGATCAAACTAGTAAATCAAATTCTTTATTGAATTCATTGAGAGAAGTACTAGGGAAAGTCCTTAGTAATCAAAAAAACAAAAGGATTTTAGATCTTGTTCAATGAAATAGAATTTAGTAAAACAAACCCAATTTTGAATAACGATATAAAATAAATCATAAGATTGACAGATTTTTTTTATATGGCTCCCGGCCTCGCTTCACTCCGTTCAGACTCTTTTCAAACCCAAGCTGCATTTATTTATATTGTAACGTTATTAACATTTTTTTTTCTTGTAGTTCTCGGTTCTCTCCGCTAGGTCTCGTTTCAAACTTTACACTTTTTTTAGATTCTGTACACCATATTACAATATTAGTAACGTAATACCATGTTTCAGGATAAAATTTAAATTTAGAAATGATTATGATAATCAATTTTTTCACTGCAACCCCTTTTTGACGATTGATGATTATCAATTTATCTTTCCGGCAATAAATCCGACAAAAAAAAAAGAAATACGTATCTATGTACGTAAATGGTTAATATTAAGGCTTTTTATCATTTCAATGTCGACCCGAATTTCGTACGTAAGTATGTAAATGTAATTGTAACAATGTACAAGGTTGCAAACAACTGCACGGTCTAACGTTGACAGAAACAGTTCATTCATGCATAATAATTACCGTTACACATCATGCACCCGTATATAGCAAAATGGGAACGTTCTGTATTAGATTCAGTCTCTTAATCAATTTAAGTTGCCCGTTAAATCTAATGTTCACTATCTATGATTAATTAATATATAATAGGTGACTTTAAACCAAGGACCGAATGATTTTCCGGTGCTATGCCTGATTTGAAAATCTTGTATCACGGGATGGTTACGAAATCGAATAGACCGTTAGTCACTGACTGACGAAGAGAGTCACTAACTAACGGAAGAGCCATTAACTAACGGAAGAGTCACTGACTTACGGAAAGAGTCACTGACTGTAAGAAGAATCTCGAATTAACAAAATGAAAAGAAAATATAAAAGCGACAGTTTCCTGGTATTTTTGGAGGATAAGTTGAATTACAATAAGATAGCCCTATAAAAAAAGTCGATCCGTGTTTTATATTCCATGTTTTTTCTGTAAATGTTGCATATTCATGGAGTTTATAACCGTAAAACATGGAGATTATTCAGATTATCTAGATTTTGTTAATCATGTTGCAGATTCACGGAGTTTTCACAAAAAAATATGAAAAAATTATGGAAATATTCGGATAAAATTTTTTACAGGGTAGTAAATAATACACTCTCAGAGTAATTACTTGAATAGTGATAGTATGTAGTGTTAGTATTGGTTAGTATTATTTGCACGTTCACTTTTGTAGTTTACAGTAAACATGGCAATCCGACACTAATAATTAAAGTTTAAGATGATTTCTTTATTAAGCATGGCATTATTCAATAGACCAAGAACCTCTTAATTTTGTTAACTTGGATCTGTAATACAAGTTAACTTTTATATCCGCAAGGTAGTTACATCGATTCTGGGTTTGATTACGATCTTAAAAAAAAAAATTAATAAAGGTTTTGGCCACCTATTTTAAACAAATTAACAATCAAATTCAGACATAGTAATAATCAAATTTGAACATAATAACAATCAATTTAGACATCATACGTAGCAATCAATTTCGGACATAGTAGCAAAACATCTTAGCAATCAAAATTGGACAGCGATATCTCATGATCTAATAAACCAAATCACAGGATTTTGGTACCATTCGACTCGTCTTAATAAGACGGGTCGAATAGTACCAACATTGCGTAATTTGGATTACTAGATCACGAAATATCGCTGTCCGAATTTGATTACTATGATATTCAAATTTGATTTAATCGCAAGAGATTATTTGAATATACAAGCTACCAGTGTAGCTTAGGAGCAAACATTCTCCATAGCAGGTATCATTATTTCAACAAGAAATAGATTAGAAGACGAATCTATGAGGGCAATTCTATGTAAAAAAAAGGTTGCTTCAAAAGGAATTTACGAATTGGATAGTTAAACATTTATACATTTATTCTATATTATTTATTGCGAGTTGCAAAATTGTGAAATTTGCAGAGAAAGAAGAAAAAAAGAATCGATGATTTTTTATTTTTAATTTCCGATTTCTTTAACATTACTTCTGATGATATATGTATACGTATCAACTAATATTATACTATATAAAGAATTATACATATATATATAAGTAAAAATTTTTTTCTAATATTATCCCGGAACATGCTTTGGATGCAAGTGTCTTTTTTGTACAACTACTGAAACTTATTGTAACCGTGAAAAAAAATATATTTCCAACAAAAAAATTATACTAAAGTTCTTTATGCTTTTACTTTGAAATTTCATGATTCTTTTAGCAATAAACAAATTAATTTTCTATCTTACAAAATAATTATTTCTGCAAAAAAGTATTTAAGAAATCGGAAATCAAAATCAGAAATCATCGATTTCTTTTATTTGATCTGCTAATTTCACATAATTTTACAAACTACAATAAATGCATGCTTAATCGTGGTAAAAATTTTGTTAAAACGTTAGTTGTTCACGTAGCGGTAGTTAAAATGGATAATATTACTCTGTTAACTTCCGAAGCGTCTATAAAACTTTATCTAGTATATATCATACGTACGTACGTTTTTTAATAATATATAGTAAGAGTTTTAATAATTTAAATGTTTGATTGGTCAGTAATTATGTGGTGGAACCAAAGATAAGACATTTTTTGTATTTACTTATCCATTGTAAGTCCTCTGCTACGTTCCAGACAATAAAAATCAAATGATTAAACATTTTGCTATCAATGCTGCATTGTATATATTTATCGGGTATATCGATGTCGTTTCTAAGCCCCATTTTGCTATGCGATAAAGTACCCATGTACTGTACCCCTGCAAATCATTCATTGCAAAGCATTCAGTATTTCGTTACGTATGAATATTTAGGTTTTAGATTTTAGGCTTCAAAATGATCAAATACCAAGTATTTATGCACCATGTAAATATCAGTCCTGATAATAATTTTTTCGTTCGTGAGATTCGAAGTGATTTTTATAAAAAAATTTATATATTGTTTAGATAATAAAATTTCGGAAATAAAAAGGGTTCTTATTTGGTCTTAAATTATTACAGCTTTCAACCTAAGTTGCAAGCTAGTAAAATCCGCTGTTTTTACCACATAAGGGTGAAATCCACTTTTTAATGTTATTATTATCATATACATATATCTAACCTGATCTACTTCCGTACGTACGTAGCAGGTTTTACTAGTTCGCAACTCAGGGTTCACCCTGTTTTATTACATTATACGTAGTTACCGTGGAATTTGCAACTTGATATTCAGGAATAATAAGTAATAGCTATGCCTCAAGTATGAAAGCAAATAAAAAGTTGCTCCATAGCATATCCATGGGAAACTGTTAGGATCCGACCTTTAGGATTTTGTGCAGTTGGAATCTTGAAAGTGAATGTTGTAATTATTGAGATTTAGGCGTCTTAAATCATATTCTATTTTTAATTCAAGTATGTAGGTCCTTATTTGGGGTTTTATTATTTCTAGCTCTTTAGTTGCACTTAATTTATATCAATCTCTTGAGAACCTCTTTATCTACCTGGCTATCAGAATTCGAACAAAGTTGAATATAGTTGAATAAAATTTTATGACCTTTCTCTTTTTTTTTTTTGAATTATATCATAAATTTTATTTAATCACATATGACGCTATAGAACTCGATTATTTCTATTTTCAATAGTGTGCGGATTAATAATTTGCATTTTACATGCATAGATACATCGTTATACTGTATATAAAGAAGCATCTATCATGTATAAGCCTGAATGTTTAATAAGTGTTTGTGCATGTTATCTTCTAGATGTATTATATCTGTGTACAAAATTGGTTGATAAAAGTACATTACATTAATACTGTTATTATAAATAATTATACGTTTGTTGTGCATAGTGAAATTAATATTTTAATAAGTTTATCATATTATATATTATATAAATGATTATTGTTCCTCCATTCTGAATATTACAATCAATAATAGCGATGGTTTGAAAAAATGGTTATAAAAAAAAACAATCACAGCCCAATTAATGAGCCACGCATTCTCAAATGTGTACGTACGAACGAACCAAAATAAGCCACACTCATTTCTAACCTTTTTGAAAGCCCATTTTTTCTGATATTTCGTCTATATTAATGAACTCAGAAAATGAATAATTCATCTGACGATCCAGACGAAGGAGACTACAAATCAGAAATAACAATAGAAAATAGTTCAGATAAATGGGGCTGGATTACGTTTGTAGCGATTATGATAGTATTTGTAATCGTTATTATTGTAGTTGTTATTATCTTTACCATGTCAGATATTGTTACAGAATATGATACCACCAAGATTCCTTTTCAATATCAATTGAGCCTGAGAAATTTATATGCAATTAATGATCGATATGATTATGTTATTTCAAGTCTTCCTGATCATGAATTTAATCAAGAATCCAACCTTACTGCTCGTGATGTTTACCAAGTTTCAAACGATAACTCTACAACAAATTCAAATAATTCAAATAATTCAAATAATTTAAATAATTCAAATAATTCAAATAATTCAAATGAAACCAAACAAATTGAACTTGGACTTTTAATTTCACGATCATTATATCTTCTAACACCTGGCTTTTATGAAGTTCAGGAGGATAGATATTTACCAAATGGCACAATGCACCGAGTAATAACTGCTACTGCATTTTACACAAATATATTCTATGTTGCCTGGGGTCCACCAATCACCATTAAATTTGTTACTTCAAATCAAACCACTTCTGATGATTTAATATCTTGTGATTATCAATTCGTATGGACTGTCATTGTAAACGGTTACGTTAACCGAAAATGTGAGAATGAGTCAGATTTCAGAACAATCTCTTACGTTAAGGGATCAAGTTTATTTGGGTTTGCATTTTATAGTTTGGATGAGAAAGAGGTTTATGCATATACTACTATACCGGATTTAGCTGTTTGGGATTATTTTAGAAGGTAAGATTTTGAATAATTTATCGGTTTAAACTTTGATATTTAATTAATTGATTTATTAATGTTAACTATATAGAAATATGTACATAGATCATAACGCGCCATTTCCAACAATTATACCTGCTCTTTATACTGCTTATTATGATTATCTGCTTAATATGAGATCTTCGCTTAGCATTAGGTAATTATATTTTTAATGTAAAAGATAGATTGTCTTTATATATATATATCTTACATATTTTTTTAATATTAATCATTAATTATGACAGGAGATTTGGTGCTTCTTAGAATTGTGATTGACATGAAAGTTCATCCTTTTATGTCAAACATATTATATGCTGGCGAATTATTATTAGAACATTATTGGAATATGAAATAAAATCTATATTCTTTAGAAAGCAGTCACTTTATTGTTAATATTTATTTAATTTTACTACTGTACATTTTTCTAACATCAAATAAAAGAAATTTTTTAGTTGTTAGGTTGAGGAGAGGGATAATGTAATTATATTATTTAATATAATTTTATAAAAAAAGGATTACTGCGCTGGCCATAATCCCAAACTTTCAAAATAATTCGAAAATTTGCAAATAGGTTATCTATAAGATTCTATTGGTTAAATAAAGATTATAAAAAGAATTGAAAGAGTTATATCAATCTAGATCTTAATAACATACAGTACGTACGTACGTACATACGTTACATAACTTTTTTGGAAAGTATCTTTTTATATGCCAATATAATTATCAATGATAATTTTAATATAATATAATTATCAATGATAATTTTTAAAAAAATTCCTTTATCAGTAAATTGAATAACATTTAAAAATTTCACGCATTATTGTAGCACCATACACGACATTTAAATCAAAATCTTAAATAATTCGTAAGTACGTACGTACGTATGTACCTACATACATGCATATGCTGACCAAGATGTGGTTGAAAAAGATGAAAAGGATCCATCTTTAGTAGAGCAGCCATTTATTTTTTTAGATAGTAGGGAAATAAACCATGATATGCACATAATTGCAGGCTATGATTGGAATTACAGAATGTTCAAAGTTCATACATCAATTTTAAAGGATCGATGTGATTATTTTAAGATAGTATTGACCAATAAAAGTATTCACAAAAATTCAGATGGAATATTATTTTTTTATAAAGAAGATATTTCTCCCAAAATATTTAAATTAATTCTTGAGCAAGTTAGACATCTTGATTAAATCTAATATATATAATCTTTATAGCTATATTTATATATGGTGAGGACTCAAATGGTTATAATTATGCAGACGTTAATATTTTAGATTTTATCATAGCTGCAGATGAGATGCTACTTCCGGAATTAGTTAGCTCTTTAGAAAATCTCCTTATTGACAAGTATTTTAATCAAGTTTCACCTGAAATTGAAACATGGGTACTTTACAGAAACCTATGTTTTTTGCTAAATATGTTTACAATAGATTTATTAATATTAACAGTATTATTATTATATGATTTAAAATATATATAATAAATATACTTTGAATACATATTAATCATATAATAATTATATTTTTGTTCTTTCTGCTAACTCTCTTGTA